CCGGTAGTAAATGTTTTTTTTTGTTGGTACGATTTATTTTTTTTAAAGATCATAAAACATTTTTTTCAAATTTTTTATGTCAACAGTTTTTTTCATACATTCTGTAGAACATTTTTACTGAAGTGGAGTGCAAATAGACAAATTTTTTCGAGGAACAGACACATGGAACAGGTAGAAATTTGTAAAAAAATTAAATTTTATTTTTCAAAAAAAACTTTCAATAGTTTTTCTTTGAATAGTATCAAAGTGTAAACAATCAGAGTTTCCCGGAATTCTAGAAAATTCTGAAATTCGAAAATTTAGGAAAACTCACAAATCTCGAGAATTGAAATAAATCGGATACCGTAAAGCCTGCATTAAAAGGGATCCTCTAATAGAAGGACCCTCTGAGAGGAGCTCGGCAAAATAGAAGGGCCCTCTGTGAAAAATGACCACCCCCCCCCTCCTTCAAAATGGTTTTCACATGGCTCAGTATGTAAAAGGGATGGCTTTGGAGCAGAATTAGGAAAAGTTCGATTCCTTTGTGAGTCAATAGGTTTTTTATAGCGAGAAAATTGAATTTTTGGGTCACAAATATTGAAAATCGCTTGTTTTTGCAGTTTTCCAAAAAAAAAAAATTGAAAACCCGCTTTTATGAGTATCACCTCAACGTATACTGCTCCTTGGTATGTCTCAAATGTCTCCACTGATGCACAAACGCTTGCTCCGGACTTGTATCACTATCAATCCATCCACTAACCACCAGTGTGCAACTCAAGCTAACACCCTCCGCCAGCGTTTCTACAGTAAACTCCTCGATAGCTCCAACTCGTTTCTTCATCTTGTATCCGGTGAATCCAGCGCCCGCAACACCCATTGTGGTCCCTAATACAGCTGCACCGGCTGTCGTGGCGAGACCCGCAACAGCTGTCCCTCCGCCAATAAGCATACCAGCTGAAGCGGCGACCAGTGGAGCTGCTAAACCTCCAGTGAGCCCTATCAAGACTCCGCCAACGCCTCCAGCAGCACCAATCATCAGATATCGCTTGATCTTCTTGTTACGTGCCGTCTTTTCGCGAACCACACGGCTTTGTCTGGAATTTTTTGGATTTGGGAGGTCTAACTCTACCAACTACGATGAACAATCACAACACTTGAAAATGCGACGAATAGAATTATTTGAGAACTTAAAAACCGCAAAAATGAGCGATTTTCAGGCTTTAAAACATAAAAATTTGAACTTCCCGCTATAAAAAACCCTAATACCCATAAGGAATCGATCTGGTGAGCTTTCGGCTCCAAATTAGGTCATGACCTAGGAGATTTGGGCCGTGACCTAGAAAAATTAGGTCATGACCTAGAAAAAAATCAGGTCATGACCTAGAAAAAATTATGCAATCACCTAGAAAAAATCAGGTAATGAACTAGAAAAAATTAGATCATGACCTAGAAAAATTCGGACATTACCAAGAAAAAATTAGGTCATGACCTAGGAAAAATTAGGTCATGACCTAGAAAAATTAGGTCATGAGCAAGAAAAAATTAGGTCATGACCTAGAAAAAATCAGGTAATATCCTAGAAAAAATTAGGTCGTGAGCTAGAAAAAACAAGGCAATGACCTAGGAACAATTAGATCATGACCAAGAAAAAATTAGGTCATGACCTAGGAAAAATTAGGTCATGACCTAGGAAAAATTAGGTCATGACCTAGGAAAAAATAGGTCATCACCTAGAAAATTTGGGTCGTGACCTAGAAAATATAGTTCATGACCTATAAAAACTTAGGTCATGACCTAGAAAAAATCAGGTAATGAACTAGAAAAAATCAGCTCATGACCTAGAAAAAATCAGGTAATGAACTAGAAAAAATAGGTCATGACCTAGAAAAAATCAGGCCATGACCTAGAAAAAATTAGGTCATGACCTAAAAAAAATTAGGGTATGACCTAGAAAATTTGGGTCATGACCCAGAAAAAATTAGGACACGACCAAGAAAAAAATTAGGTCATGACCTAGAAAACATCAGGTAATATCCTAGAAAAAATTAGGTCATGACCTAGAAAAAATCAGGTAATATCCTAGAAAAAATTAGGTCATGACCTAGAAAAAATCAGGTAATATCCTAGAAAAAATTAGGTCGTGAGCTAGAAAAAACAAGGCAATGACCTAGGAACAATTAGATCATGACCAAGAAAAAATTAGGTCATGACCTAGGAAAAATTAGGTCATGACCTAGGAAAAATTAGGTCATGACCTAGGAAAAAATAGGTCATCACCTAGAAAATTTGGGTCGTGACCTAGAAAATATAGTTCATGACCTATAAAAACTTAGGTCATGACCTAGAAAAAATCAGGTAATGAACTAGAAAAAATCAGCTCATGACCTAGAAAAAATCAGGTAATGAACTAGAAAAAATAGGTCATGACCTAGAAAAAATCAGGCCATGACCTAGAAAAAATTAGGTCATGACCTAAAAAAAATTAGGGTATGACCTAGAAAATTTGGGTCATGACCCAGAAAAAAATTAGGACACGACCAAGAAAAAAATTAGGTCATGACCTAGGTAATCCTAAAAATTAGCTCGTGATCTGAAAAATTGGGTCATGGCCTACCTCTTACCCACTGATCCATATGAGCGGTGCGCGGCAACAGCGCCCACGTGGCGTAGTGGCTAAGAGGCTTGCCTTTGGAGCGGAAATGCCACAAGTTCAATTCCTTTTGGGTTCTGTAGGTTTTTGATAGCGGGAAAACTAAATTTTCAAGTCTCAAAACTTGAAAATTGCTCGTTTTCCCCCTTTTTTCACAACCACTATCACAATATTTATCCAACCTACCCTTCAGATAGTTTCCTGGTAACTCTGAAACTCATTTTTCTTCAATTTTTCCCTACCTGGGATTACTGTAACTCACTCAGTTTCCACAAATTGCTCATCTAGTAAAGTGCTGGCTAGAGAGTCCTCGACGTCCTCGAATTCCGTCCAAACCACTCCTAGCAAAGTGGTCAGATGGCGTAGGAGGACGCGGTATCTGCTATCGTAGTTCCCTAAAAATCCGAAATTCGCACTAGAGTACATTTGCAACATTAAGCTCACCTTGATTCACGAAAGCCACCAGTAGACTAGCTAAAAATGGGGTGGACCCCTCAGTTTTGTAGACTGGGTCCTCACGAACCGACAGGATCATTGGAGCAATGTCTGTGAGCTCTTCTTCACCCTCCAAATGCGTTTTCATCGTTTTCACGACTTTATCAGGAAGACCCAGACACTGTGTGACGATGTTAAAGGTAGACTTGCAGAAGAATCTGGAATTTTCCAAAAAAAAAATCTTCAAAAACATCAAAGACGAGTGATTTTCATGATTTTTAACCCAATTATTTGAATTTCCCGCTATAAAAAACCTAGGATCCCCAAAAGGAATTGAACTTGCGGATCTTCTGCTCCAAACGCATACCTCTTATCCATTAAGCTACCGGTGGGCGCGCGCGGCGCCGCATGACGCAGTGGGTAAGAGACATCACTTAGGAGCAGAAGGCACAGAAGTTCGATTCCTTTAAGGTTCTATAGGTTTTTCATGGCGCGAAATTCAAATTTTTGGCTTTAAAATCATTAAAATCCCTCGTTTTCAATGTTTTAGTTCAATTTTTGGCTTTCGAACCCCTCAACTCACATCGAATTCGGGTCATTATCATCCCAGAAATCTAGACGTAGTACTGTAGTTGTGAGATTGGCCAGGGCGAATCGGGTAGCTGGCTGTAGGACGATTGGCGTGTCTAACGATCGATGACGTGGAGAATCTGTTGGAACTTCTGTTTGTCCAGATGTCCGCAACAAACTTACTACTTGAACTGCAAGAAGTGGTTGACATGTTTCGCTGTGGGAAGGCTTTGGCAAGTGGTTGAGGACTTCGTTTTGACTAAAAATTAAATATGGAAAATAGGAAAACAGGCGATTTTCAGAGTTTGGGTACCAAAAATTTGAATTTCTCACCGTCGAAAACCTAACTTGCAGCTGTTCTGCTCCAAAATCATCTCTCTTACCCACTGCGCCATTTAGGCACCGCGCGCCTTTGCCTTTATCGGCCGTCCGGGCGGCGGCACCTAGTGCACAGCGTCCTAATGACGCAGCTGGTAAGAGAGATGACTTTGGAGCAGAAGACCCATAAGTTCGATTCCTGTTGCTGTGCATAGGTTTTTGGTGGTGGGAAATTCAAATTTTTGGGTTGAAAACCTTAAAAATCGCTTCGTTTTCAAGACTTTTCAGGTTTTCAAACATGATAAGTTCGAATTTTCAACTTCCAAATTCACAAACCTCATCACTAGAACTGGATGACGTTGACGGTGTTGGTGTGGCGCACTTGCTCATTTCGTTGAGTGCTCCAAAGAAGTGAAACTGAAAAAATAGAGGAAGAATTGGATTTGTGCGCTTCTGCTATCCGGAGAAAATCAGAATATTTTTTCTGCAAAGAAAAGGAAGAATTTCAAGAAAAAAGAGATTGAAAGCGAACTGCTTCTCTTTCTTTTTCACCGGAAGGACATCTGCACGTCTTCTGACGACGACGACGCCTTCTGAATTCTGAATCCTTCTTTGATTCTTTCTTTTTTTCTTCGAAATCAAGAAGCCTTTGTGTGGGTTCTTTTTCTCTTTTTTGGAGAAGAAGAAGAACAAGGAAAATGAGCAAAATAGGAGAAGAAGAGCTCTAGGGGAAGGAAAAGTGGGCGGAGCTTATTTTTCGCTACTCGAATTAATTAGATTTTTTCTCGTTTTTTCTGATGGTTTTTGATGTTTTCTGGAAGTCATTAGAGATGAAGAAGGGGTTGATTAGGAGGAAAAAAAATAGAAAATGGAAATTTTGAAAAAAAAATTCCAGGTGAAAATTTTTTTTTCAAAAACCTATAATTAAAAAATTTTCGGGAGAAGCAGAAATCACAAAATTTCATAATCTTGGGTTTTTTTGGTTTTTCTAGGAAAAAATTTTTTTGAAAATTTTTTTTTAAAAATCAAAGTTTGAATTTTGGCGCCAATTTTAAAGTCTTGAAAATTTCAAAAATTCAGAGAAAGAATTTGAAATTAGGTCAAAATCCAAAATCCTCAATTAATGAATTTTTAGAGAAATTAAAAATTAGCAAATTCGCTCCACTGCTAAATTCCAATTAAAAAAGTTCGCTGGAGCAAATTTGCCAAAAAATTGTTTTTAAAACCTTTTTTTAATTTTCACAAAAATTAGAAAAAAATTTTAAAAGATCAATAATCGGGTGAGTGAGAGGAGGAAAAATATAAAACTGTGCACAGAACGAGAGAGAGAGAGTGAGAGACGCAGACATTCAGAGAGAGAACAAAAACCAGGTGGAAAAAAAGAAACGAAATTGTTTGTGTGTGTGAGAAGAGCGGTTGAAAAAAAGGAACAAGACAAAAAACAATTGAAAAATGAAGAGAGAAAAAAGATAGCAAAAAGAGAGATAAGTAGCAAAAAAGAGTAGTAGTAGAACAGACGAACTAACCTAATTTGAAATAGAAATGAAGAGAAATTCTCCGTTTTTTCTTCTCATTTTCGCGGGAAAAAACCTAGATTTCCAAGATTTTTACCAGAAAAAAGTTTGTAAAAACCTCAAAAAGCAACGATTTTCATGATTTTTAACTCAAAAATTTGAATTTCCCGCTATAAAAACCCATAACCCGCATAAGGAATCGAACTTGTGGGTTTGATGCTCCAAAGCCATCCCTCTTACTCACTGCGCCATGTGGACACCGCGCGCTAGTCGCTGCCTAGCCACCGGGAGGGAGAAGGCGCGCGGCGCCAGGTGGCGCAGTCGGTAAGAAGGAGGACTTTTGAGCGGAAGACCCACAAGTTCGATTCCTTATGCGGTATATAGGTTTTTTATAGCGGGAAATTCAAATTTTTGTGTCTAAAACTCCAGAAATCAGTCGTTAAACGAGTTTTTCAACTCAAACTGGAGCAAAATCGCATTTTTAAAGGATTTCTAATCAATGAAACCTCTAGGAAAACAGAAAAAACACATTTTTGGTCAAGTTTAAAGGGACAAACATCTCTATTTTTCTCTTCTTTCTTCATCATCCTCTTGTAATAGGAGCACCAGAAACGTCTGTCTAATGAAGCTATGTAAACAACCGAAAAAAATTGGCCAAATCAAGACAAAGTTTCGGGGAAAAATCTAAAATTTGGACCCAAAACTTTCTAAATCTCTAGAAAAAAAATTAAAGAAAAAAAAATTTTTTTAGAAAATTTTTTTCGAAATTTTCAAAAGTAAATATTGGAATCACCAAAATTCACATATTGAATATGACATAAATATTTATGTCAAAAAATTTGACAAGTCAAAATTAAAAATTTCTATTCATGTCCCAAAAAAAGAGCAGCTGATCCTCTATGAAAAATGTGATGCCTTGTTCCCTTGTTTTTCGGCTTTTTTGATATTCCAAAATCCCCAAAAATAGATATTCAAAAAATAATATTTTTTGAAAAATGCAATTTTTAAAAATTGATATCATTTTTCGGAGAGAATTAGAGAAAAAAGCAAAAATTTGCTACCAAGACCCTGGAAAAAATAAAACAACCCATAAATTTGTCTTGACTGATTTATGACACTTTTTTTTCTTTTTGGGCATTTCAAAAAAAAATATTTTCGGACTACGAAAAAAGAAGTTAAAGTTGCACCAAGCTTGCCACCCAGTAGTAACATCTACTGGGAATTTAAAGAAGATTTTATGGCGCGAAATTCAAATTTCGAATTTTTTTCTTGGAAAAAAAAATCTAAAATTGTTATATAAAAAACAATTTTTACAATTAGGAATTTTTCAAAATTTTGAAAATACAATTAGAAAAAGAAAATGGAAAACCCAGAAAAATTCCAAAAACACCTAAATTTTTAATTTTGAAAATCTTGAAGCCAAAATTTGAAATCTTCTAAAAATTCAATAATTTCAAGATTTTATAGTTTTCAAATTTTTGGAATATCAATAAAATTTAAAAAAAAAAGAGTCCCGACCCAAAAAACATCAACATCAGTTATTCATTATTTGTCTCATTCTCTATTTTTCTCATTCTTCTCTGCACTCTCTCATTTTCCCATTATCTCTATCTCTTCTCAATTTCTCTTTTTTTTTCTCAAAAACCTCTCTCTCTCTCTCTCTCTCACTCAGGAAAATTCCGGTTTCAACGAAAAAATTGATTTCAATGAGGAAGAAAAAATGAAAGAGAGCAAAAAAAAAAGAAAAAAAACTGACTCTTCTTTTTTGACATTTCTATTGATAAGAAAATTTGAAAAAAAGGGAGGGGAGAATTCATTGGGGTGTGGTGGGGTGACGGACAGAGGAAGAGCATGACCCAAATAAAAACATTTTTATCACAAAAAGCTTTTGGAACATCGGGACAAACAGAGCGACAATCTGAAAATTGTATGGAAATTGAAAAATCTGAAAACAAAATGGAAGTTTATTGTGAATTTCTGAATTTCTGGATTTCTGAATTTCTGAATTTCTGAATTTCTGAATTTCAATTTTCTAACAACATTCCAGCAATTTCAGCAATTTCAGAATGCCCAAAAAAGGATATTATTTAATCTTGAAATTTCAAATTTCAAAAAAATCGTTTTTCTTTGATTTTGAACATGTTCGAAAACATAATTTCAGTTTTTATTAGATGAATTCTCTGAAAAATGTTGAAAAATTGAAAAAAAATCAGCTTGAAATCAAAATATCTGACAAAAATTTAAAGGGGGGACTCCGACCAGAAATTTTTTTGCATTAAAATGTGTTAAAAGTTATCTGTTCTTCAAATATTATTGCGAAAAAATTCAAAGAAAAAATTCGAAATCCCCGAAAAAACGGCGTTGAAAAGGAAGAAAATTCAAAAAAAGGTGCCGCCGGGGGACGAGGATTTTCAGTGAGAAACCTAGGCCACGGCAGCGGGCGCCTTTCCTATGTGGCAAATTTTCCGGATTTTCAATTTCATGTCCGGCAGGTAAAAAACGTAAAAAAAACCACTGTCGGCGACGAAAAAAAGGCTGT